AAGGTATTCGGGGATGGTTTCCGTTTTCGCGGATATCGAGCAGCAAATGTATCGCATGTTCTTGTTAAAACTTTGTTACATTCTCCATAAATAATAAATAGATTTAGATAATCTTCATTAGTATAATTTAAACGTGCGGGCATAGTGAATTTTATAAATGATATAATGACATTTGTGTTACCTTCATTTGTTTCTCGGTAGTCATGGCCGTCTTTGACACAAAATTGTTTTGAATAATCTTAAACTATTTAAAACGAAAATTACAAAGAAACGGCGATAGTTAGATATAGGGAACCTTATATAAAGTTACCTTTATTTTTAATGTAGATTCAGATACAATTAAAAAAATATATGGTTTCCATTTAATTTTTTTGAGTTTTTCGCTTTTTCTTATATAAATATTTGGCAGCTTTTTTTGAACACCCTGTATGTAGTAGGACAACATATGAGCTACCAAAAGTTAAGCTATAGTCTCTTCTTCAAATTCCTTTCATCAGATATAACAAATACTTAACAGTGTTAGCAGAAATACACATAACATACAAGCCTGCATAGGTAATTTTTTTACATAAATTTGTAAATATTTCAGAAACGGGTAAGAATTTTATATAAGATGTTTAAGTAAAAGTTAATTAAAATCGGATGTAGAATCTAAATATGTAATAATATATAGGTGGTTCCATTTAAAATAACGAAGTTGTTGTCTACTTCCGGTATAACCGGAAGTGCGACAGTCTTGAAAATATTTTAGGTGAGTTGGGCATATCGACTTAAGTGCGCCTACAAATTTTCAGAAAGATACTACTCATAGTTTCTCCTATATCGATCGACGCAGTTCATCGTGGGACACCCTGTATATCTTGATGAGTATCAGCTTTATAAAAAAACATTTTATACAAAAGTTGTTTGATATTTTCTTTGCTATAACGGAACTGCATTCAATTGTTTTTGATTCAGAAAACAAATGAGTAACGAATAATACTTTCATTTTTTTAAATGGCAATGTATTCTTTCGTTAGGCTCATTTGATAGATATTACTTTTCTCTTTACGATGGCGTAACATTTTTGCACCCCCTTACATTAAATGTAAAAATTGTTTATTAATAAAAATAAATCAATAACATTAATCTAGATACCCGAGATCTCAAATGATTACCGTAAATTAAATTTACGTACAAAAAAAATAATTAAATTAATAATTTTGATTTAAGTAAAATTAAAAATTTAACCTCTCCTCCAGAAGATCCCCCAGCTGTACATCTCGAATTATAAGGATTCCTCGTTTTTCCAATAATCTTATTTGCAGATTCCATACTCATACAATACTCAGGTGTATTTGAAACCAATAAAATAACAGCCCCAGCTTTTTTAAGAAGTTTAACCGCATCTGCATCTTCCTCCGCTTTTATTCCTTTTCTTGTTAAAGATAACCCAGTAAAGCTCATTCCTAGAATTTATCCCCTTTTATGTTAAACTTCTTTTAAGTTGTATTTCTTTACCTTTCACTGCAATACATTCCTTTATTGTTATGGGAATTCCCAAAAGTGGTCTTTCTTTAGCGATTTCTTCCAAACGAAATTGGGACTTTTCCAAGAAATTATCGATCTCTTTCGCTTCTGCGACCGCCGCCGAAAATCTTTCTTCCACAACTGCATTTATTATCGGATTTACTTCTTTTATACGCTTTATGTAAGCTTTTACTATTTCTTCGCTGCATATCTAAAAAAAATTAATTTGTTAAAATGAATTCCAGAAGATTTGTAACGACTTTTATAATCGTCAGAATGAGTCTAAACGCTTTCTGGGTAATTATAAAAACTTCCAGGAGATTTTTAAAGATGTCAAAAAGTGTACAGAATCTTTCTAATGATCACTATAATTACCAAAAAGCGTTTAGACGCCATACAGATTTCCAGAAGGTTTATAAAGATGTCTAAAAGTATCCAGAACCTTTTTAATGATTTCCATAATTATTAAAAACTGTTTCAATGCTTTTTGAACAGTTATAAAGACTGCCAGTAGATTTTAAAAGATATCCAAAAGTGTTTAGAAGCTTTCCAATGATTTTCATAATCATTAAAAGCTGTCTGAACGCATTTTGGACATTTGTGAACACATTCGGGGAGTTTCCAAAGATGTCAAAAAGTAACCGGAAGCTTTCCAATGATTTATATAATTATCAAAAAGTGTCCAAATGCTTTGTGGACACCTATAAAGATTGCCAGTACGTTCTAAAAGATATCCAAAAGTGTTTAGAAGCTTTCCAATGATTTCCATAATCATTAAAAGCTGTCTGAACGCATTCTGGACATTTATGAACACGTTCGGGGAGTTTCCAAAGATGTCAGAAAGTAACCAGAAGCTTTCCAGTGACTTCTATAATTATCAAAAAGTGTCCAAATGCTTTCTGAACAATTTTAAACATTTCCAAAAGATTTTTAAATATGTCGGAAAGCCTTTAGAAGCTTTCTAAGTGAATGATATTCTAAGTTAACCAGGCATATCTAAGTTGTTCCACAATTAACAAAAATTGTCTACATGCCTCCTGGACATTTATAAAGACTTGAAGAAGATTTTTGAAAATGTCATCAAGGGTCCAGAAGCTTTCTAATGATTTCCATTGTCATCAAAAGCTTCCTAAATGCTTTTTGGACAGCTATAAAGATTGCCAGTAGATTTTAAAAGATATCTAAAAGTGTTTAAAAGCTTTCCAGTGATTTTCATAATCATTAAAAGCTGTCTAAACGCATTTTGGACATTTATGAACATTCTCGGGGGGTTTCTTTAGATGTCAAAAAGTAACCAGAAGCTTTCCAATGATATCTATAATTATCAAAAAGTGTCCGAATGCTTTCTGGACAGTTTTAAATATTTCCAGAAAATTTTTAATTACGTCAAAAAGTCTCTAGAAGCTTTCTAATGGTATTCTAAGATAACCAGGCATATCTAAGTTGTTCCATAATTAACAAAAATTATCTAAACGCCTTCTGTACATTTATAAAGACTTCAAGAAGATTTTTGAAGATGTCATTAAGGGTTCAGAAGCTTTCTAATGATTTCCATAGTCATCAAAAACTGCCTAAACGCTTTTTGGACAGCTATAAAGATTGCCAGTAGATTTTAAAAGATATCCAAAAGTGTTTAGAAGCTTTCCAATGATTTTCATAATCATTAAAAGCTGTCTGAACGCATTCTGGACATTTATGAACACTTTCGGGATGTTTCTAAAGATGTCAAAAAGTAACCAGAAGCTTTCCAGTGATTTCTATAATTATCAAAAAGTGTCCAAATGCTTTCTGGGCAGTTTTAAATATTTCCAGAAGATTTTTAAATACGTCAAAAAGTCTCTAGAAGCTCTCTAATGATATTCTAAGTTAACAAAGCATATCTAGGTTGTTCCATAATTAACAAAAATTATCTAAACGCCTCCTGGACATTTAGAAAGACTTCAAGAAGATGTTTCAAAATGTCATTAAGGGTCCAGAAACTCTCTAATGATTTCCATAGTCATCAAAAGCTGTCTAAACGCTTTTTGAGCAGCTATAAAGATTTCCAATAGATTTTAAAAGATATCCAAAAGTGTTTGGAAGCTTTCTAATGATTTCCATAATCATTAAAAGCTGTCTGAACGCATTCTGGACATTTATGAACACTCTCGGGGAGTTTCTTTAGATGTCAAAAAGTAACCAGAAGCTTTCCAATAATTTCTACAATTATCAAAAAGTGTCCAAATGCTTTCTGGACAGTTTTAAATACTTTTTAAATGCATAAAAGAGTCTCTAGAAGCTTTCTAATGGTATTCTAAGTTAACCAGGTATATCTAAGTTGTTCCATAATTAACAAAAATTATCTAAACGCCTCCTGGACATTTATAAAGGCTTCAAGAAAATTTTTGAATATGTCATCAAGGGTCCCAAAGCTTTCTAATGATTTCCATAGTCATCAAAAGCTTTCTAAATGCGAATAAAGATTGTCAGGACATTTTAAAAGATATCCAAAAGTGTTTAAAAGCTCTCCAGTGATTTTCATAGTCATTAAAAACTGTCTGAACGCATTTTGGACATTAGTGAACGCATTCGGGGAGTTTCCAAAGATGTCAAAAAGTAACCAGAAACTTTCCAATGACTTCTATAATTATCAAAAAGTGTCCAAATGCGTTTTGGACAGTTTTAAATATTTCCAAATGATTTTTATATACATAAAAAATCTCTAGAAGCTTTCTAATGATATTCTAAGTTAACCAGGCATATCTAAGTTGTTCCATAATTAACAAAAATTGTCTTAAACGCCTCCTGGACATTTATAATGACTTCAAAAAAATTTTTGAATATGTCATCAAAGGTCCAAAAGCTATCTAATAATTTCCATACTCATCAAAAGCTGCCTAAACGCTTTTTGGACAGCTATAAAGATTGCCAGTAGATTTTAAAAGATATCCAAATGTGTTTAGACTTCAAGAAAATTTTTGAAGATGTCATCATGGGTCCAGAAGCTTTCTAATGATTTTCATAGTCATCAAAAGCTATTTAAAAGCTTTCTGGACAATTTTAAACATTCTAGCAGATTTTTGAAAATGTCAAAAAGTTTCTAGACGCTTTCTAATGATATCCCAAGTCAACCAAGCATTTCTAAGGTGTTCCATAGTTACCAAAAAGTGTCTAAACGCCTATTGAACATTTATAAAGGCTGCAAGAAGATTTTTAAAGATGTCCATAATCATCAAAAAGTGTCTAAATGCTTTCTAGACAATTATAAAGATTGCCAGAAGATTTTTGGAAGCATCAAAACGTTGCTAGAAGCTGTGTAATAATATTTCAAGTAAACCACGCATTTGTAAAGTGTTCCATGATTATCAAAAAGTGTCTAAAAGCCTCCTGGAGATTTATAAGCATTCCCAAAGGATTTTTGAAGATGTCATAACGGACAGTTCATGTTTTGTGATATATCTGGTAATAATAACGTAGAAGTTCAACCATTCAACCGATTTGAATATTTTTGGTCTTGTTTGAAAGACCATTTTATGCTCTTTTCAAAGATATCAATAGGACAGATTGGTTTAAAACAAATAAGTTAGAGGGCGATTAGATATTTTTGTGATTTTTGAATAAGAATTAAAACTAAATTGTTGTAATTGCGTAATTATCAATTTTTTTAATTCTTAAATGATTTGAATTTAAAATTTTTCTTAATCTTTGAAACGTCAAAATAACACCTTACCTCATTTTTGTTTATTTTAACAATTTTTATCTTTTGAAACCTTGTTATTATCAAATTACTCACATCACTTTATCAATTAACTTAATTTTTCAAGAAAATTGAATAGGATAATTTTAATCGTTTTGAACGTTTGTACCAGGATGTATAGCATAAATTCTAAAAATACATTATCTGTTTACGCAAAACGGTTATTTTACTTTAAAAGTAAACATTTATTTAACAAAAAAATTTAGATTCTCGTTATAAAATTTAATTTTAATCATCAATAAATTAAAGCGAATAATTTACGATCAATTTAAAATGAGTTTAAAACCACACTTCAAATTGCTGATTACGAAGTATGCTATCATAACCGTCATAAAAAAAAATGCTTGCGTAATATTTGTTGTTTTAATATTTATTTTCAAGGATAAAATTTTAATGAATATGTTTAACTTACTTCTTGTTTTCGAATTTTTTCCGCTAATTCGGTGGCACTTATTTCTAATAATTTATCCTCGAACGGTGGTAATTTCGTTCGCTTTTCGTTGTCGAAAAATATCGTATAAATTACTTTAACAATCCATTGGATGAAATATATAACAATTAAACCGATTCTTAAACCGAGATCCATCACTATTTTTATTTTTTTTTTAATTATGCTTTTTTTGGTTCGGATTCGAAACTGATCCGAATGGGAACGCGTCCTTTCGTAGACTGTTCACCTGCAACTTGGGACGTTACTCTAAAGCTAAAGCGCTTGAATCGAAAAACGAGCCAAAAGAATCCTTGAGTCAACCGAATTTTTTGAGATTGAGTAACTTATTAAGTAATAGGCCAATGAACGTACTCCTTAAAGTTGGTTTTATTAGATTTTTATGTTTATTCCTTATTATTTAACTCAAAAAAATTGTTGATTGATTTATTATTTGATTGTTTAAATTGATTTTACTTCTAAATTAACTTTTAAAAGTTAAGTGTTAAATTTATATGTCATTACATGGCGCCATCTATGAGTAACTAAAAAAAATTTGATTAAGATTTACAGTTTCCTGTATAGGGTTTTTTGCCAGGATACACACACTTTTATAATTAAAATCGTATATTAACAAAAACAGATTTTTATAACAACGATAATGTTCCAAGCTCGACTCGAACTACTCAGCCCGAAGGATCTTTGATAGGAGAACTTGAGACTGCTTGTATGACGAAATCCCACCGTAAGATGGCATTAGCGTCTATACTGAAATAATTTAATTAAACTAAGAATTTTATTATTAATAGTGGAAATGATGAGAGACAGTAATAACAATTATTACCAGTATCATTCTTTTAATTTAAAAAATATAGATTCGAATTCGTGTTATATTTTTAAATTTGCCGCTAACTTCATCTTTTAAAATTATAAAGTTGAAGTTTGTTCAGAATGACAGATGAAAACGTCATTTTGAAGTGATTTTTCGGTAAGATTATTGTAATAACAGTATGATTAAATAATTAGATTATAATTGACATTATAGCTTTGTTTCAACTAACGTTATAACTGGTTGGAAGCTCGTCAGATGCAATCTCACATATCATATGATGCAGTGATTGTCAAATGTGGCAGCATTATTTGACAGGTGTAATTGCCATAAATAATTGCATCTGAGGAATTCCCAACCAGTTGGAACGTTAATTTACACTTTCCAAACAGTTATTCTGTGGTTGGAACTTTTATATATAAACCCAATCCAACCAGTATTCTAGTGGTTCGGTTCTTAGCTAAATACTTCCAAAATGTCCCCAATAGATGGCGCCACATGGCGCTGTAGCAACTGTGTCAAAAATCGAAAATCATTGCAATAATAGTTTTTCATGCTGAAATCATTTAATAACTGTGGATTAAATACTCATTCAGCGTTACTACGTTTTCCGCAAAAAATATACAGGTGATCTAATAAAAATTGAAATTTGATCAAAAAACAAATTAAACACAAATATATTACCAAACATAATCGGATTCCTCATCATCGTCCTCACTTTGCAGTCCACCAGGTTCTTCAATTTCCTAATTTTTGTTTACGTTTATACAGGTGTCTCACGTAACTGGTTCGTTAGAATATTTTAGGTTTTATATATTTAATATTATATTTAATATTGCTTTTACTATTTCTTCGCTGTAACGACTTTTATAATTGTCAGAATGAGTCTAAACGCTTTCTGGGTAATTATAAAGACTTCCAGGAGATTTTTAAAGATGTCAAAAAGTGTACAGAATCTTTCTAATAATCTCTATAATTATGAAAAAGCATCTAAACGCTTTTTGGACAGCCATAAAGATTTCCAGAAGATTTATAAAGATGTCCAAAAGTATCCAGAAGCTTTCTAATGATATTCTAAGTTAACCAGGCATATCTAAGTTGTTCCATAATTAACAAAAATTATCTAAACGCCTCCTAAACATTTATAAAGACTTCAACAAGATTTTTGAAGATGTCATCAAGTGTTCAGAAGCTTTCTAATGATTTCTATAGTCATCAAAAGCTGTCTGAACGCATTCTGGACATTTATGAACACTTTCGGGGGGTTTCATTAGGTGTTAAAAGTAACCAACGGAAGCTTTTCAATGATTTCTATAATTGTCAAAAAGTGTCCAAATGCTTTCTGAACAGTTATAAAGATGTTCAGAAGATTTTTAAAAATGTTAAAAACTCTCTAAAAGCTTTTTAATTATATTCTAAGTTAACCAGGCATATCTAAGTTGTTCCATAATTAACAAAAATTATCTAAACGCGTCCTGGACAATTATAAAGACTTCAAGAAGATTTTTGAAGATGTCATCAAGAGTCTAGAAGCTTTCTAATGATATTCATAGTCATCAAAAGCTTCCTAAACGCTTTTTGGACAGCTGTAAAGATTACCAGTACAATTTAAAAGATATCCAAAAGTGTTTAAAAGCTTTCTTCCAGTGATTTTCATAATCATTAAAAACTGTCTGAACGCATTTTGGACGTTTGTGAACACTTTCGAGGGATTTCTAAATATGTCAAAAAGTAACCAGAAGCTTTCCCATGACTTCTATAATTATCAAAAGGTGTCCAAATGCTTTCTGGACAGTTTTAAATATTTCCAAAAGATTTTTAAATGTGTCAAAAAGTCTCTAGAAGCTTTCTAATGATATTCTAAGTTATTTAAGATGTCATCAAGGGTCCAGAAGCTTTCTAATGATATCCATAGTCATCAAAAGCTTCCTAAACGCTTTTTGAACAACTATAAAGATTGCCAGTACATTTTAAAAGATATCCGAAAGTGTTTAAAAGCTTTTCAGTGATTTTCATAATCATTAAAAGCTGTCTGAACGCATTTTGGACATTTATGAATATGTCATCAAGGGTCCAGAAGCTTTCTAATGATTGCCATAGTCATCAAACCTATTAAAACGCTTTCTGGACAATTATAAAGATTTGCAGAAAATTTTTAAAGACGTCAAAAAGTATCTGGAAGCTCTCTAATGATATTTTAAGTCAACCAGGCATATCTAAGGTGTTATATAATTATCAGCGCCTGCTGGGTATTTATAAAGACTACAAGAAGATTATTATTTATGTAAGCTTTTACTATTTCTTCGATGCTTATCTATAAAAAAAAATTGACATTTAAATATCCTGTCAACAATTGACGTTGACATATGTATGTCAAAATAACTTAACCTCAATCTTATTGGTTTTATCAGCAATTTTAAGTGTTAAAATGAATTAAACATATAAAATCGTCATAAAAAAATAAAATACTTGCGTAACATTCAAAAATGGTCAAAATTTTATAGATGTGCTTAACTTACTTCCTGTTCACTTTTTTTTCTTAATTATATACTTTAATTTAAGTTTGAAATCGCATTGGATCTTTTCGTAGACTATTTATTGAACATATTTCTTAGTATTATCAGATATTCATATTTATTATCTTTTAATTAAGATAAAAAATGTTGTTTTAATTAATTAACACTAAAACACTTTAAGAGTGTCATTGTTATCGATCTTTACAGTTTCCTATAAAATTAATTCATCATTTAATTTCAAATTTGTTTAAATTGGGTTGAAAATTAATTTATTCTTTTAATTATAATTTAATATTATTTTAATCATAATTTATAAATTGTATAAAATATTAAAAAATTAATTTTTATTGAATTAATCAAAAAAAGTTTACAGTTTTCTGTAAACGCGACACAAATCAGCTGATTTAACCTCGAATAAAAAGTGAAATTAGTCCTGATTAGTCCATTATGGCTGTTAGAAGTGATGGCCTCGTAAGGCCATATTTAGGCCCATTTATTTCGAGTCTTGTTAAAAAATGCAATCAAATAGCACCTTGACGAACGACGTCTTTTTTTGAATTTTATAGTTTAATTTGGGTTTGAAACCGCTTTGAATAGGTAAAGATCGTTTTGTCGACCATTTATTGAACATATTTTTTGGTGTTATCAGATATTTATTAGGTATTTATTATCTTTTAATTAAGATATATTTTAATTAATTAACACTAACAGTTTAAGAGTGTCATTGTTATCAATCTTTACAGTTTCCTATAAAATTAATTCATGATTTACTTTCAAATTTGTTTAAATTGGGTTGAAAATTAAGTTATTCTTTTAATTATAATTTAATGTTATTATAATCATGATTTATAAATGGTATAAAATATTAAAAAATAATTTTTTATTGAAATAATCAAAAAAATTTTACAGTTTTCTGTAAACACAACACAAATCAGCTGATTTAACCTCAAATAAAACGTCAAATTAGTCCATCATGGCTGTTAGAAGTGATGGTCTCGTAAGGCCATATTTAGGCCCATTTATTTCGAGTCTTGTTAAAAAATGCAATCAAATAGCGCCTTGACGAACGGCGCTTTAATAACATCATGTCGCGAAAGCAAAAAGGTGGCAAAAAACACTCTAACCTTGGTGGTAAATCCCCGTAAAATCGCTTTTTGTTTCTATCTAAAACGTTTTTTCTGTTTCTTTTATAGATATTACATTAAATGATTTTGCAAACGCTGCGATTTGCACACATCGACCAAAGAAAACGCACATCAACGCGATTTTAGAAGATTTAAAGGTGGAGGATAAACCTTGGGATGAAAAAGGTGAAGGTGATTATGATGGAGAGTTTACTAAAAATATAAATAAGGATGGATCAATTAGTTATGTCATATCCAAATCTAAAGAAAAAGTTGTTAAAGAGGATGATAAAATCAAAAAGGAAGTTGTTAAAGAATTATGTCAAAGAAGTTATGATTTACCCATTGATGTATGGTTTGTAATTGGAAGGTTTATTAAACCTGAAGATGTAGGGAGATTTGCTAGGATTTGTAAAGCATCTTATAGTGTGGTTTGTGGGGCTAAATTTTGGGTTGATTTATACAAAAAATATTACAACAAGAAAATATTATTACCCGAAGATTTAAAACCAGATCATTTAAATCGAAAATTTGGTGTAAGGACATTAACAGTGAGAGTTTTATATTCTATGTACCCCCCATTTATCAATCGAATCCACAGGCTCCAAAGAACACACCCCAAAGACTGCTTAATCAAACGAAAATGCACTTTAATGTGGCATTCGAGGAAACAAAAAGATTGGGCTTTTTATTTTAAACTAGAAGAATTAGAATTAGGAGCAAAACTTTATCAGGAACAATATAAAAGTGTGGATTTGATTGAAAAACTCGATGATGTTTTTGTAAATCCAGATGAGAATTGTAAAATTTTATTGGTTAACTCACAAAGCTTTATTGCAATACCTCCGGTGCAAAATTATGTTCTTTGTGATGTTAATGTCTCGTTAACAACTGATTTATCTCAACAAAGGGTTAAATTAAGGTTTAGCTCGCATGATTCTTATCAATGTCGAAGATATTTAGATGGTGCAAGTAATATTGAATTCACTATTGGTAGTGTAATCAATTATAAGGTGCTCGATTGGTGGCATCCTGAATATCCAAGAACTAACACTTTGGAAATATTTTTAAATGGAGATTAATTTATTTTTGGTGAGATTTATTATTTAAGTTTTTCCATAAATTTAGAATAAAATGATTTCTTTATTTTTTTGAAAAATTAAATGTATGGTTTTTTTATTCCCACAGATTTCCATTCCTAACCTGAACTTCAAAAAAATCCCAACAGTTTTTTTTATCTAAATATAAAAGAAAGAAATATAAAAGAAAAATTGAAAGAAATAAGATTAAGGTGAGCGAATTATTTTAGGTTATTGAACTTTTAATAAAAGATACATTTAAATTACTTTATTTTTTGAAAAATTAAATTAATGTTTTTTTTTATTCCCACAGATTTCCATTCCTAACCTGAAGTTCAAAAAAAATCCCAACACTTCCTTCTTTTATAAATATAAAACGAAAATTAAAAGAAATAAGATTAAGGTAAGCGAATTATTTTAGGTTATTGAACCTAAAAGATGCATTTAAGCTTGTTTACGTTTCGCACACACAAAAAGAAATTATGAACAAAACGGTGGTTGAGGTTTTAAGGCGTGAAAAGGAAATAAGAAGTTCCATGTTCTCGTCTACAATCGATTAATATCACAGGAAAGGATCATATTTCATCTTAACAACAACAAAAAAAAAAGGGAAAATGGGAAAAATCCATTTAGGGGGTAACTTCTCAAAATGAAATAACATGAAAGTAAAGAAAGGAATAAGAAAATCAATTAATCCGTTTGCATCATAAGCTTAGGTATGCAAAAAATGACATATACAGTGTGTTAATTAATTATCGTATCCGACGTTATCATGTATGCAACCAATATCACAGTATTGGTACGCAAATCGATTATCGTCGGCTAAATTCGAATATTTTCAGTTCAAAAATTAATACTAATAATTCTAGTTTTATGTATACAGGTGTTCCTGTAAGTCGTATAATAAAAATTCGTATAAAATCCAGTTCTTGGAATATGAGTATGAAAATTTCCCAAAATATTAATAAGAGTGTCCTCTTTCCAATGAACCAACACGTTTTGAAAAATAACTTTTAGTTTTTGAGAAGACAATATTTGAAGTTTTGATAAAATTTTCGTTGTTGCAATTTTTATCGATAATATTCAAAATTCGCTATAAAATTAATTTTTTCAAGGATCCTTGTGAAATTATCACCAATTATTAATTAAAGTATCCCCTTTTTAATGCAATAAGCCGTTTTGAAAAATCACTTTTAGTTTTTGAGAAATAAATTTTTGAAATGATCGACAATTTTTTCGAATTTTGTAGTTTTCGCCGATTAAGTTTTAAAAATTCGTATAAAATCCAGTTCTTGGAATATGAGTATGAAAATTTTCCAAAGTGTTGATAAAAGTGTCCTCTTTGTAATGAACCAACCCGTTTTGAAAAGTAACTTTTAGTTTTTGAGAAAACAATGTTTGAAGTTTTGACAAAATTTTCGATGTTGCAATTTTCATCGATAACTTTCAAAATTTGCTATAAAATTAATTTCTTGAAGGATCCTTGTGAAATATCACCAATTATTAATTAACATATCCTCTTTTTAATATAAAAAGCCGTTTAGAAAATCACTTTTAGTTCTTGAGAAATAAATTTTTGAAATAATCGACAATTTTTTCAGCATTCAGATAATGAAAAATATAATTTTTTATCAATTAATTTCATCTGTAACAAATGTAAATAGTTTTTGTATTATTAAAAATGATATTTTTCAATTATCTGTAACGGTTTTAATTTCTAACCATTTTTGATGAAATTTGGTATACGCCCATTACAAAGGCGCTTAATGCGCGTAATGCAGTACTCAGATTTTTTGTAAAAAATTTCCTAATGTGATTTCTTCTTTTTTTGCACCTAAAAAGTGAAATAGTAGGCCTTGGTTTTTTAAAGAAAAACATGACTCTTTGTCCTAAGGTGCAGTTTCTTACGCTCTACAATTCAAAAAAAAATGTATCGAAATCGGATAATAAATACAAATTTTACGAAGGTGTTCCACTTTCAAATGGGTCACACTGTATATGATATATATCGGCATACAGCGACATCTAGTAACCATATCAAAATTTTTTATTAAAATAATCGATTATAAATCATATTCTAAACAAATTTTATCTGAAACAATTTTTGATAAAATTGATTTTTTTTTCATCGTACTATTCACAGGGAAATCCTAAGATTCTATAATTTCGATTATTCAAAAAAAATGTTTTAATGAAAGTTGTTACTGGCTCGATTTTAAATAAGATTTGCTTGAAAAATTTTTTGATTCAAACAATAGTTAATAAGATAACCTCAAAAAGATGTTATATATGTATATGTACAACCCTGTATGTGTTCCATCTCAGACGATCCACCCCGTATATTTCTTATCCCATAGTGATTAGAAAAGTTTCCCGAAACCCGTCGAATGATTTTGTTTGAGGGACATCTTTTGACGTCATTTGAGGCTTGAACGAGCAACCCCCTAAGAGGGGGTGTTTCAACCCCTCAAAATTGAATTGGGGAGAGGGGTTGAGTGATACTTCATTTGAAAGGTCTTGGAAGCCTCTTTACAACGGTGTATGAAAAACGTAAATTTGATGAACCGTTTTCGCCAAAAATCAATTTTTTAGCTCAAATGAGCAACCTTGAATATTTTGGTTATAAATAAAAAAATTGAATTGTTTTATCATGTTGTTTTATTTATCACAATCAAAAAATCAAATCTGCGTTTTTAAATCAAATGTTCAAATTTGCTCGTTCAAGCCTCAAATGACGTCAAAAGATGTCCCCCAAGCAAAATCATTCGACGGGTTTCGGGAAACTTTTCTAATCACTATGGGATAAGAAATATACGGGGTGGCTCGTCTCAGATGGAACATCCTGTATATCGGTATACAGTGCCATCTAGTAACCATATCAAAATTTTTTTATTAAAATAATCGATTATAAATCATATTCTAAACAAATTTTATCTGAAACAATTTTTGATAAAGTTGAATTTTTTTCATCGTACTGTTCACAGGGAAATCTAAGATTCTATAATTTCGATTATTCGAAAAAAATGTCTTAATGAAAGTTGTTACCAGCTCGATTCTAAGTAAGATTTGATTGAAAAATTTTTTGATTCATACAATAATTGTTAAGATAACCTCAAAAAAATGTTATATACAGTGTGTCCCCGGATAGGTGAAACGACTCTTATAACATGTAAAATTTTTTTGATATTAATTGTCATCTTTTGGGGTTCAGCCCTGCTTGGTTAAAGACTAATTTTGAACATATTTTGAAATTTTACAAAACAAGTGACTGTTGACACTGAAGCGAAAACTTCTTGTGTGTCAGGTAAAGTGCCTTTTCTGTTTACAGTATGCTAAAATGTTACTCAGAAATTTTATTCAGAATGAAAAGTTATGGCCATATGCAAATTTTCGGAATCATCGGCCTACTTTGATAAAACTCATTTTTTATTATTTTCGTCAATAGTACTTTATTATGATTTTTTGTTTTGAGATTCAGATTATTCGGAAAAAATAAACAAACCGTTCTTAAAATGTTCACAAAAAATTAAGTGTTTGTTCGCCCACAAAAGAAAATAGTTAATTATAGCTAACAGTTAATCAGTTTCATCATAATTTGTTTTTTCTTAGAGTGAGCCTGCTGTAAGAAATCTTTTGATTAAACGCCAACAAGTACTTCTTTTAATTCCAGTATTTGGAAAATTTTCACTAAATAAAGCAATAACCACATTTCTCGGGTTTTCCCCGGTTCCATAACACTGAATCACGTAAACTTTTTCCTCTGGTGTTAACATTGTATTTGAAAAACACTTTAAATTTACTAAATTACAGTTTGACAGATTAAGAGTGACAGGAAAGCAATTTTGTTTTTCCATGGAAGTCTTTGTTAGAAATAAAATTGTTTGATATGGATTTTTTCAAAGTAGGCCGATCAATCGGAAAATTTGCATATGGCCATAGTTTTTCATTCTGAACAAAATTTCTTAGTAACACTTTCACGTACTGTAAACAGAAAAGGTACTTTACCTGCCACAAAAAGAGTTTTTCTTTCACTGTCAAGGCTCACTTGTTTTTTAAAAATTAAAAATAAGCCCCAAAAACTAAACCCCAAAAAATGACAATTAATATCGAAAAAAATTTACCTTTTATAAGAGTTGTTTCATCTATCCGGGGACATACTGTATATAATATAATTATATCGGTATAATGCGCCATCTAGTAATAATATCAATTTTTTTTATTAAAATAATCGATTATAAATCATATTTTAAACAAATTTTATTTGAAACAATTTTTGATCAAATTGAAATTTTTTTCACCGTACTATTCACAGGGAAATCTAAGATTCTATAATTTCGATTATTCGAAAAAAATATTTTAATGAAAGTTGTTACTAGCTCGATTTTAAATAAGATTTGATTACAAATTTTTTGATTCAAACAATAATTATTAAAATAACCTCAAAAAAATGTTATACAGGGTGTTCCGGTGACTCGGGGCATAAAATTAACCTCATATACTAGAGCAAAAATGATGACGATTCGTGAAAAAAAATTATTATAAAAGTCTTCAAATGGCCAAGATAATGAGCCATCAAAGTGCAGAAATTTTAACACATTTTTCTAAATATTTTCAATACCATTTATGATAGAGCGTTGAAATTCGGTACAGGGTACACAAATATCAAGCAAAATCATTGAACCAATTTTGACTTTGATCGGGCGGCGGCAACCATGCTATACAGGCTGTCCCTAAAATTTGTTTGCTCAGAACTTTTTTGTTCGCTCGTAACCCTACATTTATTTTTGTACTTTTTAATAGAAAATTTATGTTATAAACTTTTATCACTCTTTGAAAATTTTGATAACATTGACCGTTTTCGAGTTATACGCGAAAATATTAAGCTTCGATTTCAATGATAACACTAAAAAATAAAAATCTTCGAAAAAGTCAAGGTTGGCTATGGCAATTAAAAAAAATAAATTGAGCTGTCAACTTATGTCGTTTAAACACAAACGATAGTTTTTTGTTAGTTAAGTTTTTATTAATTTTAAGTGT